CAATAAAAACATAAGACTCTTATTTTAGTACATTTTTAATGTTTACTCTTACTTTACTCTTATTTTACTTTTACTTTAGTTTTTTTAGTGTGACATTACTTTGTGGATGAGCTTTTTTCTTGTAGTGTGAATATAGCTTTTTACTTGTAGTGTGGATTTAAATTTTATCCGTCGACCAAACAAATAAACCTCATCCGATCCAATGGAGGTAGCATTTGATTGATGGAGAATTATTCAGTGGCACGAAATGATGGGTTGATCCCACCACTATTCTGAACCTGAGCCAGCAGCTAGCTGCTGCTTCTATGGCTATACTTTATTTGCCTTCTTTTTTTTTTTCTTCTCTTTTTCAAATTGCATATTGCATGAAGATCAAACATAATCCAATAATGACGCTCACATCGATGCGCCCCGGCCAGTACGGCCATCCCACGTTCATTGGATCATGGTCACGTCGCGAATCCTAGTTAACATTTGTTCCCTTCTTTTGATTTGAGTTTTTGATATTGTGATTTCATTAGATTTGATCTAATTAGGTAGTAGAACTTGTTAGATCTCATTAGATGTCACTCCACCATTCGTTCCACAAAACTCTTTATCTTTTGTTTTTTGCTTTCCACAAAACACTTTCACTTTCTATTAAAAAACCACTTTTACTCCTACTTTTTCATACCCTACATATCACATCATACTTTTTCACTAATAACCAAACTATCACATCTTACTTTTTTTCATCACATCAGGGGCAAAATTGGAAAGTCAACCAAAATTAGACTTTCCTTATTTTTCCCCAAAGTCAAAACCGGAAGGGTTTTGTGGAACGGAGGGAGTATTTGATTGAACGAATTTTATTTTATCTAATTTATACTAAAGTTAGATTTATTATATTTCTTCCCTCTCAAAAAACTATTTCTTTAATATTACAGTTTTTTGATAACTTTTATTTGTTTGCATGTTTTCATTGGTCATTTAATAAAATAAAATATTCTTGTTACTTTTTGTTTTGTGAAACTTTTCATTTAATTTTTAAATATATAATTTTTATTTTTTATTTCAATACCAATATGTAACTAAAACCATTTTAAAAATTACGAGATTTTGCACGTTGATCGAAATAGGTAATTATTTTGGGATGGAGGGAGTACATACTAGCCTTATTATTATTATTATTATTATTATTATTATTATTATTATTATTACTCTACTGTAGTGGGATTCAACTGGGTTATTGTTGTTTATTGTATTATTAGTGTTGTTATTATTATTATTGTTATTATTATGATTATTGTTATTATTATTATTATTATTATTTATTATTATTACTATTATTATTATTATTATTATTATTATTATTATTATTATTATTATTATTATTATTATTATTATTATTATTATTATTATTATTATTATTATTCAGGTGATTTCTTTCTTCTTCATTTTCCTTGACGACTTTTGTTCCTTCTAGCTCTAGCAATGCTGAAGCGGCTATATAGCCGTTGGGGAGGGGGAGGGAGAGGGGGGTGGGTTTAACCAATAAATACCATATTAATTTTTTGAAAAATTTCACAACACAATCTCTAATTTCTCTATTCTCTCTCTCTCTCTCAATTCTCAACTTTCATATGTATATATTTTATATTTTTATATACTATAATCATATATTACAAATATATTACTCCCTCCGTCCATAAAAAAACTTCTCACTTTCCTTTTTGGGATGTCCACAAATAAACTTCCCATTTCTTTATTTGGCTAAAAAATTCATTAGAATGTCAATTTTACCCCTCCTCTCTTTTTCTCTCTTCCATCTTCCGCATCTTCAAACACAGGCCATTTTATTCGTTCTCTTTCTTTTTTTCATCTGTTAAGGAATGTAGTATGGTTTGTTGTTAACAGGCTCATTCTTGTTGGGCTCGTAATTAGGTCTTAGTCTTGTAGCTATTATAAATAGCGGATTTATGTGTAATCAAATAATCAAGTTCAGTTCTAAGTATATTTCTACATGGTATCGGAGCCAACGTTCTTGGTGGACTAAAAATCGTTTCTTCCAAGTTACTATGTTTTGTAACTTGGATTCACACATGGAACACACATTGGACTCATCTCATCGAAATCTGATCTATAATTCAAATATAAATTTGACCACAAAAAGACAAGTTTAAAAATATCTTATATTAGCCATGTCATTTCAATTCTTATTTGATCTAGGTGAAAAATAAAAATTACTCATACTATTTATTAAAATTTTATTATTAAATTCTAGATTTTTTGAAGCGTTACACGCACATATACAAAAGAATATATAGAACAACCTCATAGACTTTCATGGTGAAGATCTCAAAGACTTCTTATTTGTCACCCGTGAGATTGGAACGACCTCATATACTTTCTATTACTCTATTTTTCATTGTAAAATTGTAATCAATGTAGTTTTTGTTTTATTTGACATGCTTTTACTTGATTTAGTTTATAAGTCCAAAAGCCTAGTGGGCAAATACCAGCATATCTTTTAACGCATATAATTTGGGTCTGGCCAGGCCTCCCCATAGAATGGAAAATTATTTCAAGTTAAGCCTCAACCAAATTCAGCCTTGATATGTATTTGCATATGTCTATTCAACGTAATGCTATAAATGATATCATCCAAGCATACCACGACAAATTTATCTCGAAACAATTCTAGAAATCGATTCATGAGTGTGCATAATGTTGCCAAGGCATTCATGAGTCCAAAAGGCATCACGAAATATTTACACAGGCCATATCTTGTGGCATATGTCATCTTGGGCTCGTCTCCGTCGACTGTCCTAACTCGATGGTATCCAGACCTCATGTCCAACTTAAAAAACCATCATGTTTGGTCATGTTGATCAAATAGATTAGCAATATGCAGAATTAGGTACTTGTTCTTTATCGTGATCTTGTTGACACTTGATGATCGATGCTTAGATGAAGTAATCATGTCCATCGTGATTTTTCTGAAACAAAATCGGGGCTCCATATGGTACTTTTGATGGACAAAATATACCCCATGTCAACGAACTTCCTCAGTTGCCTCCTAAATTCCTCATACTTCGAAGGAGCCATGCGTTACGCCATTATTGAAGGTAAGGTAGCACCCCGGGGTACGTACGCCATTATGCGGTACGTACCAAGCACCACCTGAATCTTGTTGTCCAGCTCTCTCTTTGATTGCAATCATTTTGCAACTCGACGGTATCACATCCGTGAATTCCTCGAACACGTTCTTGATAATCCTCGAGAGATCTTTAGTGGGTGGAACATGAGTTTCCTCCTTTAAGGAAACAACGTATGTGAGCTGCTTCTTCGTGATGCCTTTGTAGAGCTACATGGGAGAAATATGCTTATCTTGGAGTCACGCTTCCCGTTCAATTTTAAGGGTATTGGGGATTATCTTCTTCCGAGATGTACATCGTGTTGGCAAAGGGGATGTAAACGACCTTGACCTTGTCCATGAACTCCATAGCCAAGGCGATTAGATACACATCCATTGTGACAACTAAGAAGTCTATGAGGCCTTTCCAATCTGCTAAGTTTACCTTTGCATCGCATGCAACTCCAAAGGTGGTCTTCTATTCTGAGTTAACCGCCTTATGCCATCCACATTTTCCTTGGTAGTGAATGTCCAACTTTTTTGCCTCTTCCTTTGTGAGAAAGTTGTTGGAAGTTTTCGTGTTTACAAGTGATTTCACGATATGTCCTCCAATCTTAGCTTCTAAAAAACTGTGAAGCCACGATGCAAGTCAGAAAATCTAATATATCCAAAAATTACAAAATCTTTGTGTGGTAAGTATATTTAAGAGTTGTGCTAATGTAACCTCACAATTTTGATATCATCATTGATCTATGATTTGCACACGCACAAATAAAAAAATGTTAATATCACACTAAGAATTAACTTGTGTCTATAGCATATGTACTATAGTTTTGTAAAATATGTGGTCAATGGTAGTATCAAAATTGTGGAGCTATCATGACTTTGTACTTTTTAAATAAAATATTTAGAAAATGCTATTCCGAGCCCACTTTCAGGGGCGGATCTACAGTATGAATACGGGGGCAATCGCCCCCAGCAATTTTTTTACTTCATAATATACAGTGTTAGAATAATTTTTTTTAGAGAATTAAAAGAACGACCTCGGTAAAAAATTAGTTTGCCCCCACTGACAAAAGAAAATCTTAGTTTAATAGTAAAAAATAATCACTTAAAAATATATACAGGTAAAATATTTGAAATATCATAATAATATTATGTCATGATATATTTTATTTTTTATTTTTCTACTTTAAAAGTATTTTTTTATTTGACTACTTGTTTGAAATTAAAATTATTTATTTTTTATCATTGTCAAACGTTTTAAAAAAATTGGGAATGCCACCCCTTAACCCCACCATACTCTGTAGTGTGTGTTTGCCTCCTAAACTTTACCCTGACATAAAATATAGGTGCAACACTGACATAATACCAATTTTGTACTTACATTTAATGTCAGGACAAAGTTTTGGAGTACAAAATGAGGTATAAATATGAAGTATAAGTAGAATTATCTCCAAAATATTTTATGGGATTGAGTGTACCTTCTTTGGTACATACTTCAGACCTGCAGTCATCAAAAGATGTATGCGCTCAGTCATCACCATAGCCAAGAAAAGTAAATAGAATCCCTCAAAAACAACAAAAAGAGGGCCTCCAAAGTCATCACCCATCTTTAGCCATTGAAAAATACTAGGGGTATACCAAAAGTGTACCCCATATGTCTCCCACCCCCTCATTGTCCAGTAAAAAAGGCCAAAAAATTTAAAAAAAAATAAGTAAATAAAAATGAAATAAAAACGTGTGGTGGAGAAAGGGTAATGTACATTTGGGGTACACTTTTTGGTGTACCCCTAGCAGCTCTTAGCCATTTGATCCTCTCCTCTTCCACTCTCCAATCTTCATCTTCTCTGTCAACTCTTCTCGTGTGTTTTGATCGGTATCGCTATACGATCAGGTAATTTGCTTTTATTTTTGTTTGTTCAGAACTGGATTAAGTTTCGTTGGATTCACTTGTTTTCCAGCAATTTGCAATTTATATCTGGGGTTAAAGCACATTAGTCATCGCCGGCCATGAGTTTTAATTTATGCCTTTCATTTGCCCAATTAGTCAAGAGTATCTTTACTTAGTGGAGATTCTTTAAATATAAGAACAGAAAGCTACAGATGTTATATGGTTCTTCTTCATTTTGATATTCCAATTATTGGCTCATATTGTTGGTGATTGATGAAAAGTTATTAGCTTTTTGTATATCATGACTCAAGATTGGATTTTTATGCAGATGCCACATCTTTGGGAATTTGATTGTGTTTAGTTTCATTTTGTTAATTTTTTAAACCTCCATGCCATTTTTGAAGGTTTAAGGTTCTTTTAGATGGAGGGAGGAAATGAGTCTGAGAACCACTTGAGTTCAGCTGCAGCTTTTGTGGAAGGCGGAGTTCAGGAAGCATGTGATGATGCTTGTAGCATATGCCTCGAAACTTTTTCCGATAATAACCCTTCATCTGTATGTGTTAGCTTTTTATGTTGTCAGCTCTAGTGAAATCAAATTGGCATCCTCTTGTTAGCATTAGTTTCCTTCCATTTGCAGGTAACTGTTTGCAAGCACGAGTTTCACCTGCAGTGTATCCTCGAGTGGTATGCTTTATTTATGCCCTACATTTTGACATATCATATCAACAAGTGCTGCATTTTTATTGCAGCTTCTATAGGAACAAATTTTTATGGGTATTTGAATACCGAAATGATTCATTGTTACCAATCTTCGGGCTTGAGCATCCAACTTTTTATCCACCATAAAGATTTCCCCTATGATTTTTTTACATGAATCTGTAGTATTAACTAATTTTAAACAAGTAATTGACTCCATAAAATCAATTCAACCGATACAATATAGTTAGTTTTAATCTTATTTTGCAGGGGACAGAGAGGCTCGCAATGCCCTATGTGTTGGCAGAACCTTAGCTTGAAAGACCCAAACAGGTTTCTCTTCACTTTCTAAGACCATTGACTATGTGGATCTTTTTTAATATCATAAATACTCTAGATTTTGATTTCTTAGTCTCTCTTCCGTTGACGTGCTGTAACTATGCTATGCCTGCTGCAGCCAGGAACTGTTTGATGCAGTGGAGCATGAAAGGAATGTGAGGATGAACCCGCCAAGAAACACCACAATTTTCCGTCACCCAACTTTGGGAGATTTTGAATTGCAACATGTTTGTAGTTTTGTTATACTTTCATCTAGATATTTTTGTAGTTGGTAAAATATGTACATTACTTACTGTGTTGATTGACTTTCATTTGGAGCAGTTACCAGTAAGTGCAACAGATTCTGAGCTGGAAGAGCGCATTATTCAACACTTGGCTGCAGCGGCTGCTATGGGTAGGGCACGTCACCTTGCAAGGAGAGGTAAGAGGGGTGGTAGGTCATCATCTCAAGGTCAACCTCATTTTCTGGTGTTTTCCACTCATCCAAATTCATCTCCCGCCGTTTCTGGCTTCTCTACTCAGATAAGTGGAGGTGAACCTTCCCACCCTGTCCTCCTTGCCGAAGGTTCTCAGCAATTGGTTTCGCCACCATATGCTGCCCAAGCCGGTCAGGTTTCTGCCTCTTCGGTGGGTCAACTGGGCACTTCATCAGTTAATAACAGGTATTTTCTCAACAGGCCATGTTTGGAACACGGTGAATTGTAGGGAAAGGAAGAAACTACTAAGGATAGTAATTTTGTTATTTATGGGTTTACCTTTTACAAGATGAAGGAAAACCAAGTGTGATAAAAACTTTTTAAAATTTTATGGTAAGTTGCAGGGAGACGGGGACAAATATTCATACTGGGATTGGGTTGTGAAGGGGACGGCATTAACTTTTCCAACTTTTACAAGGGATTTGGGTGATGGGGCGTCTTCAAGTACCCAAAGGGGGACATTTCAGGGAGCAACACTTATTTGAAGAATCCGTGCAACATAGTTTTTTCGTGTATTTTGATTTCTTAGTCTCTATACAATTAAATTGTTCAAACAAATTGAGTTTGAACAAATAACCAAAATTGATTTATTGAGTTTGAACCAATTTATTAGTCTTCCCATAAAAACCAATTTTCCTCTCTCTCTCTCTCTCTCTATATTCCCCTAGTTTCCTTCCCTAGCATTTTCTGGATTAACGTCCATTCCTCATGGAGCTAATGGAGCTAAAAGACTCATTTTTGAATTTTGACAATGTTTTAGCTTACTAAATAACGGACTAAATCAAAATTACAGAGTGAACTTTCTGTTCTTACTTTCTATGTAGTCTTGGGCAGTAAAATGCAACAATGCATCAACCTCTATTTTTGGAGCTAATGGAGCTAAAAGACTCATTTTTGAATTTTGACAATGTAGCTTACTAAATAACGGACTAAATCCAAATTACAGAGTGAACTTTCTGTTCTTACTTTCTATGTAGTCTTGGGCAGTAAAATGCAACAATGCATCAACCTCTATTCCTTGGGATGTTTGTTTCTTGTTGCTTGCTCACACATGCATTTTACTTCAATACTTCATTATGTTTTTCTCACGTGTTCTTATTTTTAAGTTTCTTTGAAAAAACACATTGTAGGAGTTCCCCTTCTCATTCGTTTCCTCATGATCAAAATAGAGCTGGACCATCTGGCTTCCAGTCTTTTTCAGAATCTGTAAAGTCAAGGCTAAGTGCAATGTCAATGAGGTACCACTGAAGTTGCATTTCATTTTAACTTGTACCTTTTTTCACGATTTCCCAGTGTAAAAATGACTTTTTCCCCCCTTTTTTTCAGATACAAAGAGTCCATCACCAAGAGCACAAGAGGTTGGAAAGAGAGATTTTTCTCCCGAAATAGTCCTGTATTAGATCATGGTCCTGAATCTAGGAACAGGGGTAGTTCAGATATTTCCACCGTATCACACCTTATGCGGCAACTTGCACCTAGGCAGGAGGCTAGTAGTACAACCCCTGTTTCTTTATCAAATAGGCTAGTGGAAGATTTGTCAACTTTACAGCCGTATCGTTCTGAGGAGCTAATCTCGGAAACCGGTGGTAACCGTTCTTTAGGAGAGACTTACCATCAAACTCCACCTCCACCTGCTACTAGCTCTGCTTCAATCTGAGTTTTGTTGGACAAGGTACTGCATTTTTACTTTAAGGCAACTCATAATTTAGTGTCTTGTAATTTGATTGTTTTACCTGAATATTTTACAAAGAGTCGTGTTTGGCGAGTTTTTTTTTTAAAGAGGTTTTTGGGGAAGAAAAAGAGGTTGGGCCATAGGATAACTTGGAAGTCAATTAGCGTTAGTGTTTTGGATAATTTTTTATGGTGCTGATTAGATTTGAAAATGCTAAAGTTCTTTGTAAAATGCTTAGTCTAATCAAAACGCTTAGGGTTTAGGGTTTACCTGAAAATTTGATTAGTCTTTTCAAAACGCTTCGCTTCTCAAGTTCTTTTGGAAGATCTATCTTTCAAACTTTGTTTTCAAAAAGTCCATTTTTCAAAAATTTTGGAAAAACTATGCAAAATGCTTAAACAAAAGATGGTTGGTAATCTAGACCAATTCTTTTAACTAGGTTGTTATTGTTGTTGTGCAGTTGTTGCTGGCTACAAGACTGATAATCTTGGGAGTAGTGGTGTGCATGCTTCAAAGCCTCCTTAGTCAACATATGATCTATGAGCAACAGTTTAATTTTTTATACTCCGTATGTAATTTGTTTCATATGTTGCCAACTATATTTATGGTTATGTCTTGTTTTTCCTTTTTCTTCATCAGACTGAATTTATTCACATTTTATTAATCAGATGTACGGAGTAATTGCATTATAATGAGCATTTGATTTAATTGAAGGCACATTATTTTTACTTCATATCTTGACAATGTTTAGCTTCTGCTAAATAATGGGCTAAATCAAAATGGCACATTAAACTTTTTCTTACTACTTTCTATGAAGTTTTTGAAGGTAAACGAAACAATGTGTTTAGCCTAATGGAAACAATCTCTCTGTTTTTTCAGTCCCATTAATGGAAGTGGTTATAAAATCTTTTGCTGGTAGTTTAGATTTGATCTTGTGATGCTTGAAATGTACAAGCATATCTGGATTAACAAAATGCAGAAGTTAAAACTTGTTCAAAATTATGTTAATCATTGAATGGTGTGAGGACCTCAATTTGTAATAAACGACTATTAGATTGTTATTATTTACGTATAATATTTCAAAATGGGCAAATGTCATCTCTCATCTAAGAACTATTTATTTTAGATTAAATCTTTTTTGAAAACCATCAATTTTGACCCTAGGTTTGAGGAACGGTTAATTTGACACTGGTTTTAAAAGACAATCCATGTTGCAAACAAATCCGAAAGAACTTCAATTGGGCGAGTGTCATAATATCACACCAACTTAGGTGTCAAGATAACCTTGCGAACAACCGTTACCAATGAGTTATTGGAACCCAATGGCATGTAACCTTTTCAAGTGTATCACTGCATAAAACGACACCGGAAAAAAAAACTGTCAAACATGTCAAAGTGCCCGTTTAGCAACAACCTTAGCTTCACAAAAAAACTAAGTAACGATATCATTTACCTTTTACGTTTTCATAGATATAGTTTGCGTCACTAAAAAATTATTCAAAATGCGAACTGAAAGCATTTTCCCAAAACAGACACTAAATAGCTAAATGAGGAAAAGAGGAATGATTCATTGGATAAAGAGATCCTTCCAATAGTTTCAATGATTCTCCTTAGATTACAAATATATTAGAGTGCCATGAGTTCTTGACCCTAAGCCACAAGAACCAAAAAAAAAAGGCAAAAAGAACAAGAGAAGAAACTCCTACTCAAACTTCTTGATCATGGACAGGTCATTCAACATCTTCTCAATCACCTCATCATCCAACGACCGTCCTCTGTTCTTGAGAGATGGGACCATGGCAATGGCTTCCTCGACGGTTTCCGGGCAAAGGTTTCCCAAAACACAAAGCTCAAACTCTGCTAGTTGGTATCTGCTGAGGATTTCCCTCGCTTGTCTCACGGCATCTGTGGCCTTGAAGGAGCTGAACCGCTTCACATACTGAAGCGACTTCTCAAACACTCTGAAGCACAAAAGATTTGTTGCGTTAGGACAGCAAAACATGACCATGGAAAACACTTGCCCGTCTAAAGATTACTTCCATATTTGAAACATTTAGAAACAGGACACGATCACGAGACTTACTGAGAAATATGGGTTGTTGGATCCTCGGACATCTGCTGAAGCTGCTCATACTTGTGCTCCAGAATCAGAGCGACCTCACAGTTCATGAGACACTTGGCCTTGAGAAAGTCTGAAATCAGATGGAAAACATATCACTTCTTGGTCCCAAATTTAAGTTCATATTTTGAAATTTGTATCCAAAGGTTGTAAATTTTGAACACAATTTAGTGGAGTATAAATTACACTGAATCATATTTAAGATTAACATTATATTTATGATAGTTATTTGTTTTAAGTGGGCAAATCTCAAACTAAACCCTATGTATGCTCAAGAAACTAAACATTACTAGTAAAACCAAAATTGTGGAATAAAAATATGTCTACGGCCTAATTCTATACATGGAAACCTAATTCTCGAATAAAAATTGATTAGACAAAATATATTTTCTTCAGATCGAAACAAAGCAAATCATGGAAATTATGATCATCGATTTCATAAACGAACAAAATTTCGACAGAATTAATGCTAGAAATCTCTGAGACGAGGAGAGATTTGAAATAGGAAGACAAAAATTTCAGCAGAATGAAATTACCGTCTCCGATCTTAAGCTCGGCGGCGTTCTCCTCTTCCGCTGCCATCTTACTCCGCCTGTCGTCAATCAATTGGGAACAGGTTTTTTTCTTATGGACGAACGGGTTTTTGACTGTTTCTGAAATCTGAATGCTCAATTCCTTTACTTTCCTTCTTATAAAACACTACTCATTAAGATTGGCGGTGCATTGCATTGGGCTGGTGGGTTTGGACTTTTCATTTTTTCCGGCAAGTTTTAGGTGGGCTACGGCCCAGTGCCCCGTCTTGGTTTTGACCCACCAATGCCTGCCCACGCTTTGGTGAATTTTTTTTGGTATAACAACCCTTTGGTGATTTGATATATGGGTATTGTAATCTCTTTAAAAATAAACTTTGGAATTTTAACTAATTCTCAATAAACAATAGATTTTAAGTGAATATACTACAAAAAAAACAAGGAAAACTCTTTGCAAATAAATTTGAGTTTTAACATTTTATGCTATTTGATGGATATATGTGACGTAATGCGGTATCGTCTTTTGGGCCAAGCAACCAATTAAGCAAGGAGCCTAAGGCTTCAAAAGTTTTGGGGCCTCGAAATTTTATGTAAAGTTGAGTAGTATGTTTCAATCATTAGTCCATCAAACCCAATAGCTCATAAAATAGAAAAATAATTAGACATTAGCCCATTTTTTTGTCGATTTTACACATGAAAGATATAGTTCGAACCAAAAAAAAGAATGATATTCATAAATGATTTAAGTATTGTGTGGCAAAAGATTCAAAAAGTGCTTGTGATTTTTTGCTGAAGAAATTACTGGTCTCACAGTTCTAGAGCGTGACGATAATGAGATATTTCACCAAGGAGAACATAATGAAACTACTTTAGCACTATGTTTGGTTGAAGGAATTTTGAAGGAAAAGAAAAGAAAATGGTTTTCTCTCATTTTCCTCACCAAAATGGGAGGAATTTCGTTTTCCCTCTACTTGGTACATTTGCCTTCTCATCCTCTTTTCCTTTCTAACCAAACAAGAAAACTTGTTTTCCACTTCATTTTCTTTTTTTTTCTCTTTTAAATTCCTTGAACCAAACATAGTGTAGAAGAATCTGAAATAGTGAGAAAGAAAATAAGTAAAACTATCATGTAGGAAGTATTGCTGATCTAAGCAAGTGGGCTAATTTGCTAATACTACGGCAAGTTTGAGACATTTATTAATAGAACATGGTCGAGTTAGTTTGAGAAATAGATTTTCCAAGATAAAGATGACTCAAGAAGGCATTTTAATCGATCCTTCACTATCCTAGGTGTTAAATAATGGAGTAAAATTTAATCGAAGGGGGTTGGTTTATCACTTTATTCAAAACAATTAAATATATACTCCCTCCGTCCCTAAATAAACTTCCTCTTTCGTTTTTTCTTTGTCTCCAAATAAATTTTTCTTTTCCCTTAAAAAACCTCTTTTACCCCTTACTTTTTCATACCCTACCTATCACATCATACCTTTTTACTAATAATCTACATATCACATCTTAATTTTACACATCACATCAAAGGTATTTTTGGAAAGTCAACACAAAAATATCCCTCCCTTAAATCCTCAAAAAGTCAAAAAGGGAAGTTTATTTGGGGACGGAGGGAGTATATTTTGTTTTTGGCGCAAACTATTTAATCATGCTCGTAACAACCATCTATCTTTTTTAAATAAAATGTGTTATTTTACTTTATTATTTTCTTATTACAGAAACTACTAAGGGCCCCTGATTTAACTTTCGCCCCCGGATAGGATAAAAATGGTACTAGTGACGTGCACCCTACCCCTTGACTCTCCGGTAAAACCTCAACCCTTCATGGCCCGTACACACTCTCCCACCCCCTTCAATTACACTCCTCAAGTTAAATGCTAAATATTTTTGTTTAGCATGTGAATATAAAGAATCCACACTATCCTTTCCAACAACCATCACAAAGTCAGTTTTCGCATAAATCTTTTCTGTGTGAATAAGGGGAACGAAAATTCCATGGGAGATGAGGTACTCCTAATTTGATGGCATAATAATTTGCACGTACTTGCGATGGAAACAACATTTCAAAAAGGCTAGGCATGGCATGTGTTGTACCATATGCTACCATATTTTTGGCAATTAAATTAACAGCAATTTTGTTTTTTTATTTTTCCTTTGGCAGGAGGAGAAGTCATCTCGGACTCTTAATAACCAAACTGTAATCATATATACCAAAATTAATTAAGCTCAAAGTTGACGGGTCAAAGTGATTAGGTTAGAGATGAACAACGTAACAAGCTAAGCATGTCCGTCTGAAGGCGTGGCCCCCATTTTTTAGAGCACCAAATTTTTTGAAAGCATTATGTCAAGGAACCAATTCAACCAAAAGCTCAAGCTTGTGTTTGTGGCCCAGGAACAGTTATTTATATTCTAACACGCCCCCTCACGTGCAGGCATAGTCTTTTTCGAGCCTTCCACGTGAAACTTTAATTTTTTTTAAACTGGGTGGCACAGAGTTTTGAACTCGTGACCTCTTGGTCATCAAGGCTCTGATACCATGTCAAGGAACCCATTCAACCAAAAGCTCAAGCTTGTGGTTGTGGCCCAAGAACAGTTATTTATATTCTATATAACACACTCGTCTCCAAGAATTGTGAATTATACTCACTCCGTTCCACAAAACCCTTCTGGTTTTGACTTTGGGAAAAAATAAGGAAAGTGTAATTTTGGTTGACTTTCTAATTTTGCTCCTGATGTGATGGGAAAAAGTAAGATGTGATAATTTGGTTATTAGTGAAAAAGTATGATGTAATAGGTAGGGTATGAAAAAGTAGGGGTAAAAGTAGTTTTTAATAGAAAGTGGAAGTGTTTTGTGGAAAGCAAAAAATGAAACAGGAAGAGTTTTGTGGAACAGAGGGAGTATATGACTAATATTTGGGAGAAAATAATCTTTTGTATATTCATCTCAATCTATCTATCGAGCTGGGCCATGAATATCTAAGAAGAGAAAAAGACTAAAGCATGGTTAAAACATTAAAGTATACTAAAATAGAAATTTCATGCTTCTATTCTCGAAATAAGAGATAAAATAAATTTCCATTACGAATCATGTACATTACCAAAAATTATAATAATATGCAAAT